TACTGCAAAAAATAATCACTGAGGGTGGACTGAAACCTAAAACTGAACACAAACAATAACTAAAACTATCTAACTCAATTTTATTTCAAAAAGTAACATCATCAGGGTAAATGCAGGAAAATGAAAAGCGGATTAATCCCAGTGTCATTTGAAGTCAGTATTTAGACTGTTGAAACTCATGTTCATAGAATACTAATGCTATGGCAGTCTTGTGAAAAGCAATAATAAAATCAAGTAAAACCAGAATCCGATTAAGGCACTAGATCAGTGCTGACCAACAAAAATATAATGCACGCCATACATACTTTTAAATTTTCTTGTAACCACATTATAAATAATAAAACAAACTAGGTGCGAAACAATTAATAAATTTAAACCAAATATATCCAAAATATGATTTCAACAATCAATATAAAAAGTATTAAATAGTACATAGTTTTCTGTAATAAATCTTCCAAATTATAAATTTTATACTCAACACATCTTAACTTGAGCTAGACACATTTCAAGTGTTCAATAGCTATATGTAGCTAGTTGCTACCATAATGCACAGTACAGCACATCCAAGTACCAACTGATGAGAAATAAATAGACAAATGAACATGTTAACCTCACCATAGGGATTAGAACAGCAAAATCCAGACTATGGGAAATTCAATAGGTTTCTTCAACAAATTAATGGCAAGGAAAAAGGTGAGATTGAGGAAGCTGTAGACTAAGAGATTTAAAATCAAAGGAGGAGGAGGAAAAAAAAAAAAAACAGGAAAATCAGAAATGTAATGTTTAGAAATTCACACAAGTGATAAAAATAATTTAGAAAAGCAAAGAAGTTATTATCACAAATGTGGACTGGTTGCATTTGAGGAAAAAATGGAGATTTTAATCAGAATGGAGCATAGGAGAGCTTCTGGGCTACCTAATAAAGTGTGTGCATCTTATAAAAGATGAATCCATACAAATCTATACCTTTTGTTTGAAGCAGTTTTCCATTTGTTATGTTTTACAATTAAAATGTTCAATAAATACATATTAGATGGAAAATTTTGAAATTAACAATAGCACACCCTGTCCCCAAACTTAACACCTCTATTCCCCCAGTTTCTAATCTTCTAGAATAAAATATCTTTACTCTTATTTGAGACCAACACCCCGTCTATTCTCTTCAGGACTCCTGGCCCACTAATCATCACTTCTCTTTTCCATCTTTATCTCCACCTTCCTATTGAGGCACTATAGGAAAATGGCAAATAACTGGGCTCTTATTTCAGAAAGCCAGGGCTCAAATTCTGGTTACTATTTAACTTGTCTGATCCTCAACAAGTAACAATCTGTCTGTGATTAACTCTCCTCATTAAAGGAGGAAAATAAGAGTACCTAAGTCATAGGCTTGATCTGCTTTTTAATTAATATACATAAATCCCTTAGAGCTTGAAATCTAGTGCATTTTCAATAAAGATTAGCTGTTATCGTTATCCTGCCACCTCCACCTTCACCTCCATACCTTCAGTATATACATACGCTCAGGTTTTCCAGTTTCATCTAAATCCTTTCCTCAACTCTATGTCCCTCTCTACTTGTGTACTCCTTCCCTTTTGCCTTAAAGCATCACAGATCACCAAACTGCTATATGTATGGGAAACATTTTAATAGACATTTTACTGCCTCCACTGGAGCATTTGATACTGTTGTTTTTAACCCCAATTCTCTCCACCTTGAGTTCTGTGACACTATTCTTTTAGCTGTCCTGCTTCTGAGATGATATGATTATTATCAATTCTAAAATACCCTGTACCTGCAGCTTAGACGCTGCTGTCCTTCTATTTGTCATTTTCATTCCACTTTGAAAGTACTGTCCAAGTGATCTGATTTGTACTCACAGTTTGAATAAGTACCTACAGGCTGCTAACCTAAGTCTTCCAGCTCTGAACTCTTCTAAACTTTAGATAGTATTTACCTAAATACCAGCTGGACCTGGATGTCAAAATGCCCAATACTGTTTTCACTCCAGATTTGTTCCTCCCTCCTACTCATTCTCAGGTAATGCACTATTATCTACCTGACCACCATGGCAGAAACCCAAGTGCAATTCTAGGTCTCTTCTCTATCCTTATCGCCAACATCCAATCATTGGGCTTACTGATTTTACCTATAAATTTCTTAGAAATTATTTCTTTCTCATCATCTCTACTATAACCACCCTAGTTGGGGCCTGCAGCATCTCTCATCTGGAATACAAAAAGGGAATAAGAAGTCCTTGTTGACTCCTAAAGCTACTTTCTTTTCTACTTTATTTTAAAGCAAAGTAGAACTGCCCAGAGTTGCCTGAACTTAACATGCTTAATGTTTGTATATATTGTTATACTGCTTCCTCTGCCTGGAATGTTCTTTCTCAACTTTTTATTAGATTCCTTCATTTTTCAAGATGCTGTTAAGATACCATAACCCTCAGGGAAAAAACTTCATAGCTGGGCAAAGTGGTGCATGCCTGTAACCCCAATGACTAGGGGAGGCTAAAACAGCAAGTTTGAGGGCTGCCTGGGCAACTTAGCAAGACCAGACTCTCACTCAAAGGGGGGAGGGGGGAGTTGGAGATGTAGCACAGAGGTAGAGTGCTCCTGGGTTCAAATGCCAGTACTTTATAAAGGAAAAGAAAAAAACCTTCATAAAGCTCGGGGTAGGTTAAATTCTCTCCCTCTATACTCCACAGCACCTCAACTACATTGTTATCATTGCACTTACCCAACCTATTTTTAATTTTTCTTAATGTCTTCTTCTACTGAACAGTTATTTCCAAGGGCAGAGACTATTTTACTTATCTTTATATGTTTAGTGCTTAGCACAGACTTGGCACAAGGCAGGTATAATATATTTTGTTAAAAGGAGGTAGCTATTTTCTTTCTCATCATCTCTACTATAACCAAATGAACAAGTTTTAATTTGATTTTCATCACATCATGATGCTGTTCAAAAACATTTAAGGCTTGTCACATTATAAAGTACAAATATCTTTACATTTATCCCCCATGACAAAACTCCACACTATCTACACAGTTTTATCTTGCACCACACTCCTTCCTTTTATTTACCCTCGATTCTAAACTAGTCTACTCAGCTTTCCAAACTGACCTTTTGATCTCTATCTCCCCAAACCTTTAGAACCCATAAAATTTGGGCTGGGGATGTGGCTCAAGTGGTAGCGCGCTCGCCTGTCATGCGTGCGGCACGGGTTCGATCCTCAGCACCACATACAAACAAAGATGTTGTGTCTGCCAATAACTAACTAAATAAATAAATATTTTAAAAAAAAAAGAACCCATAAAATTCTAGCCCTTTAAAATCAATACTTAGTAACTCCTTAGCAATTAATCTAGGATCTGTATGATATTAAAAGCATTGTAATGGAAACCTGAATAGAACAGTCAGAAATAACTTCCATGTCACCAGCAATTGAGTAGTAGGGGCAAAGCTTAGATAACTTTTTGTCCAACTCAGAAAAGATATTACATTAAGAAAAACACTGAGGGGCTGGGGATGTGGCTCAAGCGGTAGCACGCTTGCCTGGCATGCGTGCAGCCCGGGTTCGATCCTCAGCACCACATACAAAAAAAGATGTTGTGTCCGCTGAAAACTAAAAAATAAATATTAAAAATTTTAAAAAAAAAAAAAAAAAAAAGAAAAACACTGAGCTTTTATTTTCTGTCTTACCTACCTTTTGTTCCTCCAATCCAGCCTTCCTTCACCTTGAACAGCTTGAAGCTCTTCAGAAATGAGGAGGAAAGAAGTACCTAGTGTAGGATTTCTTTCCCAAAAGCTATGCTGTTTTTGTCAATCAAAATTCTAACATGAAAAAGTTCTAGATGGTCAGAAATCCAGTGAGAAAATCAATGTCCTGAAACCTTTGGTGTGTGGTCTTTTGATCCTATCATATTAATCCCCTCCTAAGTGCCCCTACAAAGACCAACTATTTGTTTTTGGAAGAAGAGGTACAATCAGGAAAATAGTAGGCACTAATGATTAGCATTAAGTCAAAAAAAGAAGAAAGTCTGACTCCGACACCTCCAAACACTCTGAAGGTAACTGTGCTACTAAAAGGGGAGGAGAAGACCACCAGTGCAAAATCTTCCAAAGAATACCTAATTCCCTCTGAGTTTTTATATTTATAACATAAGCGACTAGTGGAAGGAAAATTAAGAGGGCAAAAATAAGACAGAACAAAAAGTACAGGTAATTATTCAAAAACTTCAAAATCATTTGTAAAAATAATATAACACACTAAGGCACTCCCACTAAGACTTCTATTACAATAACCAACCAAACTACAAAATTTCAGGATTGGTTCTTAAAAGAATAAAAAACAATATTAAAGTATTCAACTTTTATTCAACTTTGCATTAGCAGAATAGAAGCTAGTTAGAAACGGAAGGTATCCTCTGTGCCCCACACGCCTGGCACAGTACCTGGGACATAACATATGAATGTAGAGGGAAGAGAGAGAATTTAGATTTTTTAAAAATACTCAATAGATAACTTTGCAGGTGCTAGGGCATAGGGATAACATGAAATAGATATTTTAAGACTAACCTCTGATTTTACTGTAGTTTTGAACCCTTTGGGAACTAAATCTGGATAAATAAAACTTAACTTCATCTCTAAAGTTCTAAAATCTTGATTGAGCTTCAACTGCAATTATCAGGTCTTTATCTAAATATTCAGATAGAAAAACAAATTTCAAAAGTCATCCATTTGATTCCATTCAATTTGATGTCTAGTTTAGACAATCTTCAACTAAATTAAAACCACATTTTTTCAACAGAAAAAGCTTTCAGCTAAAAAAAAAAAAAAATCCTCAGGTGTACTCAGAATCAAAAAGAAACATATAACAAGATTTTCCGAGGCACTTAATACACATTTATATCCTCTAATTGTAAAATAGATGACACCAACAGAAAAGTAGCACAGGATTTGCAGCCAACGGTCATCATAATTAAGCTAAAGAAAACTGTGTTTTTCTTATCATCTTTATTCAAGTATTTCACAGCAGTTATATTACAAATTACAGTAAATGTTCAAATTCCAGAATTCAAAAATTAAATAATTTACTTCAAACTAAGGTAAAATGAAGTCAAATGTAAAACATCAATTTAACACAATTCTAAATTAAACTACAAACCCAAAATAGACCATAGTTGATGAAGTCTACTTAATCTACAAAGTAGACATACATGACTGAAACCAAATAGGACTCCCAAATCTAAGTAACCAAATGTACAAAATACAAAAGATGCAAGTACAAGCCCAAATTCAAGCTTACAATATGATTACAAATAATAATTATAATAACAATGGCATTCAGCTACGGGACCTGACACTGAAGACACCTACTGAATAGCACCATAGCTGAATCAACTTAATCAGAAAAGGGAAGAAATGACCACCCCACTCCCTAAAAGTAAAATCCAGTAAACCTACAAATACATTGGCATATGAGAAAAATCAAGTCATAAAAGGACATTAAAAAAAACTCAATCACAGGTAAGATTCAAGCTCAAAAACACAATTAACTTCACAGCCATCAGTTTCAACCCTAATGTGGTTCTATCATCTTCAAAATGCTCCCAGAGTCCCTACAGCTGAGCATGAACTACTGCTGGGCTGGGCTGTGATACGTATTTTACTGATCTGAGAGCAAGATTTTACACTGGAGCTTATCATTTATAATGCTCACAATAGGAAATAAGAACAGAGGTCAATTTGTACATATTTTTGCCAATGCTATACAGCAAAAATTAAGAACTCACAGAAAGGTAAACAAAATTGAGTCCACTTGGATAATTTCACAAGCTGCTTTAAACTATAGAACCACCAGGTATTTGTAAAATATGTGAAACTGGTGTAGTGTGTTTCTTTCTTAGGGGGAAAAGGAGTCCGAAGAGTTGGTACAATTTCAGCTCATTTTTCTCCCCCTGGCATGAAATTGGCTTTCTCTTTAAGACCTAAACTGTTCAAAGTGGCAGTTCCTATACTGAGGTTGCCTCTGATTTCTCCATCTACATGAAGGATAAACAAAAACAAAATCTTGATCTTTTGGAAGCATTTTAATGCCAAACATAAATAAATTTCCCTTGTCAAACTCACTGATGGCTAAAATCTTAATTAACTTGTATAAATTTAGTAATCTACTAAGAACATGTGCGTTGTTTCTTTTTCCTTTCACAAGTGCTGCTGTTACTTGAACAGAATGCTTCTGAATTAGAGTAACTGGAATAAATAGTAAAAAAAAAAAAAAAAAAATAGTGCAGCAAGAACCTGAGACTTGCAAAAAACCCTTTTACCAGAAACTTGCTACAAAAAATCTGCTACATCTTATTTCATCAAATCTTTAAATTCTGTAACAATTTCCATCAAAATACAAAATGCTAATGTATTAGACAGTAAAATAGTTTGAACTGGTATGATGGTAATAAATACTAAAGAAAGCATGAAAATCCTCCCAATAATCAAATTAGAGGTTTCAAATAACCTCCCCTTTAAAATGGTTCATCGTTAATCGCACTTGCCCACCTTAAAAATACAGTGTGTCTACATGGATATCATCTTGAATTATATGATTAACTGAATATTATGAAAACTTCATAGACTAGGCATAAAGAAAAGAAGTAGCATTTTAGAAAAAAAATGAAGCTAGAACTAGAAGGCAGTAAATGTAAAGGTAAATGCAAAGAAGCACTTGGGATTACTGCAGTAGCCTAGGCCAAAGAGTGTTTTCTGCACACTACAGACAGCCAGAGACAAGGAGACAAGTACCTTAGCTTCAGCATGTAAACGGTGGCAAAGTGATTACAGGACTCTGTAAACACTGTTGGTAACTAAAACACAAAAAGCTGAGGTAGCTCAGTATCTCTGCAGTAGTCCACGACCATGTGCCCTAATTAAAACTCAAACTACATGTGTTGCATATATTGGAAAGACACACCTGCAGCTAACAGCTATAATAAATGAAGATAGCAAGCCAACTTGTCGGCAAAATTTTCTACACTTTTTTAAAAAATTATCTGATAAAAAAATGTTACTGCACTCCCTTTGCCTCTTTGCAACTGCCTAGACTGTGTCTCCAAATTTATAGAAAGTTTTTGTAAAACTAGTAACCCATAATTAATTTTAGGTAAGTAAAATTCACAGAAATCACTCAACAAGATCCAAAATAGATTCCAACCAAAATGAAGAGTTATGAAGGTAAGCTTATGAGAAGGGATTCAAACATTAATACTGTTATTCAAGGACCATACCAGAGCTCACTTGTAATTATACAGAAAATGAATTTTATGGAGCCTCTGACAAATTCCTCTTTTCTGTTCATTTGGCAAGTCCTGGCTTTAAAACAAAACAATAACAATTTATTACACATGAAAATCATTTTTCTCTGGGAACTCGAAGAACTATTAAATTGCCTCTGACAGAAGAATGGCTACTATCCATTCTCTGGTCATCACTGTCAGCAATAAGGAGAAGTGTGTGAGTTTTTGTTATGGACTGTGCATTATTTATCATTGTTTTATCACATGTTTCTTACACAGAAACAGACCATACAGGAAAACTTACCATTTTTAGTATATTATGTGGTTTACTCAGTGTCTTGATTGAGCTTTGAGAACAAGACAGGCATTAATACCAAAACATTAGTTGTCTCTTAATGATGCAGAGTATTGAAACTTATTGTCAAGGTTGTAACCAAAGAAAATATTTTAATTTATTTGCTACAAACGAGCTCATCCATTTAGCCTTATCTTTCTCAAATGAATAAAAAGGCACATTAAAGGCAGTTCTAAAGAGCCTAATCTAATTCCATCTGGTTTCTTCAGTTTCCCACCAGAATATATCATAGCCAACTTTAAAACAGGCTTCAGTCCATTACCCAGAGAGGGGGAAATATGATAAGAGATAAAAAGGAAAAAGAAGGGGGAAAAAAAAAAAGTGAAACCCAAAAAACAGGTTGCCCACTGTTTAAACAATCCAACACAGTTAGAACTGCCCACCCAGCTTCCTCCTGCTGCTGGTCTGCTCCCTAAGAGAATCTCCAGAAGACAGTGCACGAAAAGGAGGAGCAGAAGCAAAAGCAGTTTCTGTAGCACCAAAATCTCCAAGCTGTGGGGTTGTATTTTTTTATTTGTGGAAAATACAACAAGTTTCTGAAGTTCTGTTTGGTTCTTGTAGGCTGGTTGGTTTCAGGTACCTGAGACAATAGCACCAAATTCAACAGAGAGAGAGAATGAGTGAGAGAGCACTTTACACCAAGGCTCTGCACATAATTGGTGCAATTTGAAAGTGAATGGCTCAGAAGACTGCTCTGTCAGGAGCAGATTGGAGAGGATCAACCACTCATCTTGAAAAGTTCATAGGAATGTCTCAAACATATGAACTGTTCTTTCCATCTCCTGTAAGAGAAAGAAATGCTTGTTATCTATTAAGGGAAAGACAAAGGTACTCCTCATTATGGATTAAATTCACATTAAATTTTTAGAGAAAAAATTTGAGATAGAAGTTCAAGTTGGAACATCTTCCTGATTACAATACCTCAGCTACTCTGTAAGACAATCTGCCCTAGGCAATTCCAAGTACCTCCTATTTGATATTTAGGCAAATGAGGATGATGAAGCTAGTTAACACTCTATGAGTAACTTGGCAGTAATATAAGAAAGAGGTACAAGTCATATGAATATGAGAATGAAGATGGTGATAATAACAATCAATGAGAAGCTTATTATGCCAGATATTGTACTAAGAAATAGACACACACGCATACACACATAAATACGTAAACGCAGTAGACACATAAGACATATTTATATGTAAATATATAAAAACTTTTATATATTATTTAACTTCATTTCTACAATAACATGTAAGGTTGAAGATAGATAATACTATGAGCCCCATTTCATAGATAAAGAAAGTGAAGCACAGAGGGGCAATCTGAATAAGCCAATAAGTGGCAGGGTCAGAATTTGAAGACAAGCAGACTCACTTCAGAGCCTGAGTCCTATATTCTATTAACTCCCAAAGCAAATTAAATGAAGTGCAGCAAAGCATATGCCAAGAAATAGAATGTACCCTGTTCTCACTCTATCTCCTCCAACCAGAGCCAAAAAAGGGTGGTGATGGGGAGAGACAGAACGAGTGGCAGCCATTACTGCTGGTTCTGCTATTAATTCCCTTTCTCCTTAAACTAGATTCCAAATCTCATTCTGAAATATTTCACTGCGAAATGATGATTCAATTCAAGCTAGTGAAACCACAACCATTTGAACAAAAGTTCTAGAATAAAAATGTAAATAACTGTACTCTGTATGCGTATTTCACTAAGATGGGCAAATGTCAAATACATCTAAGATATCTGGTTTTCTTTTCTCTCTTTAAATAGCTCCAATGAAATTCTAGTCTACATCTCTGTAGAACTAATAGGCTATACTAACAAATTACTGTCTGATCAACAAGTTCTTCTGTATGATCAATTAAAATCAGTCCTGCTAAACATTTTATTATATTACACAACATAGTTTAGCTTTGTAAAAATGAAACTCATAAAAATGTGGTTACAATTTTGAAAGTTCTCATTTTAATTCTATTACTCTTTATTACACATGAGAAACAGCCATATTTTCTAAGTATAAATCTTTAATATCTTTACCAAAAGAAATTACCCTTGGGAACAGGTACTTTATCTTTATCATATTTTACATCCCAAATACCTGGCACAGTAGCTGGCACTCTAGGTTACTCAATAAATAATTAATAGCCAGACTATAACAAGCAAGTGAACCAACAGAATCTAAACCATTTATTTCAGTGTAGGTAGGGGATTATAGTTGCTCAAATGATCTCAAAAATCAGAAGAGTGGTTTAATGATGCAAATTATATGAACAGAGCTAGAAGCTCATTCATAAGGGAAGAACTTCCCTATGGTTCTTTAAAAAAAAAAAAAAAAAAAGGAATGGTCCATCTCTAAAAGTCTCTAAGCAAAAATGTAAGTACTGATTCATGTGGCTATTTTACAGGACTAGTTTGATTAGATGAGATTACTTTTAGTTCTCTTCCAACTATTAATGATGTGGCAAATGGGTTTCATTGGCCCTGCTATCTTCTTACATCAGCAATAACTGCCTAGGGAGCAGTGGAAAGGATTATGGAGCCACACAACATCCAACAGGCCCAAGTGACATGTTCAGAGAACTGTGACATTCTGTGTATTCAACTACCCAGAACCATAGATTTCTGTCTTTTGACCAACAAGGAACCCCAAGTTACTTCTTTTCAAAGACAAAACAGCACAGAAAGGCTTTATTCAAACTATAACCTATAATGATTCTTCTAAAAATCTTTACGACTTTCTTGAGCTAATGAAAAATAACAGACTTAGGAAAAATAACTTTTTTTCTCTTTTCTTCAGGACACGTAACAGCACATATTTATTTATTACATAGATGAACTAAGCACTTACCTCTACAAGTTGTGATTTGTCATAATCTTTACGATGACGATAGATGCACTGACTAAGAAGAGAATATAATCTCTCAAGCTGATCAACTGTCAAATTGTTGCTTTTATCTACCAACAAATCAAGCAATTTCTAAGAAAAATTACAAGAGAATAAAAAGTAGTTTGATTTCCCTGGTCAAACAGAAACAATTATATTCAAATAGATAAAGAGCAAACATCATAAAGTATAAAAGTGACATCTGAGGTTAGAAGATTCTAGGGCTTAGTTATTACCAGGACCATTCCCATACTTTCAACCCCTCAAAATGCATATAACTCTTCTTTAGTAGAAGCCCTGAGACAATTATATCCCTGGTTAAATCAGAAGATTTTGAAAAATAATTTTATTCAATGCCTACAAATATTCAAAATCCTTCCATTCCTTTAGAACTGACTGGGAATAGCTAAGCTTACCTTCAATCTCTCACGATCAACTATAAGAGGTGGCACAGGCTCAGTCGGCTCTTCTGGAACCAGTTCCAGGCTTGTTGTTTTTGCCTGCTCTAAAATTAATTTACGATATTTCTTTACTTTAGAAGCACCTAAAATTAAGGGGGAGGGGAAATGCAATGCAGCAAGTAAAGTTAAGAAAAATAAGTCTTACGCATCTATAAATTCTTTTACCCACCACACCTCCTTTCTGGGATGAGGAAGATTATATTCTTTAAATGATAACTTTTTTTTTTCTGTTTAAGAGTACGTAATCCAAACTAAAGAGAACTAAAACACAACTATGAAAGCCAAGACATACTAGGATACAGTCTAATAAGCATATCCATTAAAAGGAATAGAAAAGCAATCTTTGCCTCTATGTATTGACTTATAAACAGCCTTCAACTCTCTTCATGGTTGCTATCATTTTAAAAGTAGAAGCTTTCAAAACTAGATAAAGAAAGAAAGCAACCTAGAAAAGCAGACACTGAATGGGGTCAGCTTGTCTACACGTTAGCTTCCCAACCTAAAATATTTTCCTCAACATTACATGATATTTTAAAAAAATTTTTTTCTATTATATTGCCTAAATTCTATTAGAGACTGGTCTGAGTTATGACATTTTTTATAAAAATATAAACCCATTATAAGTGTAACAGGGCTGCTAATCTTTCCTACCTTGTAGTAAATTAGTATAACCTAATTACTTTCCTCCTAATACGTTGCTGTGACTAATCAGACTGAAAAAAAAAATAGAAATTTGGGGTAAGTAAGCTTAATTTCACAGTTCCGGGCACTTAGAGGAGTAGGGAGGCCACAACACTATGTCCCCCAAAGTAGGACTACTCTGGAGACTGACAGGGAAGGAACTTAAAGAAAACCTGGGCTGTTTCAGAAGTTCACACAGGACCTGGCTCATGTTAGGGACATTAAGAGGAAACTTCCTCCCCTGTCCTCCATTGATCCTTTTACTCACAAGTCTTTAAACTCTTCCTTCTTCTCCTCAAAGCCCGCTCTATAAATAAACAGTAAAAGAACCCAAGTGTTGCCTTTGACAACATGACATGTATGGTGATATATCAGAGAAATTTTATATTTCAAGCAGCCTTTAAAGTGAAAGGTTTGCCAGGCATGGTGGCACACTCCTGTAATCCCAGTGGCTCAGGAGGCTGAGACAGGATGATCCGCGAGTTCAAAGCCAGCCTCAGAAAAAGCAAGATGCTAAGCAACTCAGTGAGACCCTGTCTCTAAATAAAATACAAAATAGGGCTAGGGATGTAGCTCAGTGGTCGAGTGCCCTTGAGTTCAATCCCCGGTATTTTAAAAAAAAAAAAAAAAGTGAAAGGCTTGATAGTCCAATTAACATATTCCAGGAGTTTTTTCAAAGCTATACTGATCCTCTTTATTATATCCATGAATTCTAGAGGTCTGAGAATTCAGATTAAGAACCACTGCATTAAGTTATACTGTACTGATAATTCCAAATGAAAACTTCAGGTCACACTTTTTTTTTTAATTTTTAATGAATGGCTCTTTTTTTTAAAAAAATCATTTTTTATTGTTGTTGTTTATTTTTTATGTGATTATGGGGATTGAACTCAGGGCCTCATGCATTCTAGGCAGGTGCTTTACCTCTGAGCTATCTCCCCAGCCCAAGTCACATTTTTGTACAACAATATCTTTAAAGCTTTCAGATTGAACATAACATTAATTTAAGCAAACTTAACTAAAATTGCTAGAGAAGTAGTGTCAAAATGGACTCCTCTCCCTGTACTCATTCTACCTGATACCGCAAGTTTATCCCTCTTTTCCCCTTTTCCATTCATTACTTAAATCTCACTTTAACACACTTTTTAAGTTCTAAGAAAGCCCAGAATAAATACTGTTCTTAAAATTAATTTCTATTATTAAATATTGAGAAAAAATAAAAATTCTCAACAAGGAACATTTAAGAACAGCAAATCTCTTTTTACCCATTTTTTTAAACTGACGAGACTCTGAATAACACTTTCCTACTTCCAAATTCTACTATAGGGCTTAAAAAAAATGGTAGGGAGCTGGATGCCTGTAATCCCAGCAGCTCAGGAGGCTAAGGCAGGAGGACTGTGAATTTAAAGCCCTCCTCAGCAAAAGTGAGGCACTAAGCAACTCAGTGAGACCCTGTCTCTAAATTTAAAAAATACAAAATAGGGCAGGGGATGTGGCTTGTGGCTGAATGCCCCTGAGTTCAATCCCTGGTACAAAAAAAAAACACAAAAAACTGGTAGGGAAAAATAGTTCTCTCATGGCCCAAATCCTTGTGTACTCTATCCAATTTACAAAATATACAAATTCAAGATAACCTAATATTCCTGTCCAGGAAGAAATGTGTTGAACAAGGTAGATATCCATACAGTCACAAGAAATCAAGAGCAAGCAGAATGCTCCGATTCAATGGGAACAAAGTAAAACTGACTGTGAAAGTTCTGTGTCTTTCTTCCAGTCTTGGCGTTACAAATCAATGGACATCTCTCAGATTCAACTGCCTAGAATAAGCCAACCTTAGCATGTTCCAGTAACCACAAGAGGCAATAATTATAAAAGACTTACTGTAATGCCTGTAACAAGACCATTTTTGAAGTTTAATTTATAAGATGAATAACCAGGCTTGAGGAGTATCAACAACTACTGCCAAGTCACATGACTATGATGAATCAAAGTGATGGTTTAATCTAGGTCTGCATGATTCTTTCTAATATACTATACTGCTATAGCCACATCTTCTCTGTCCACTCGACCCTTTCTAGTAATTCTTCTGTTGTAATTCCATCTTCCTAACACCTGTGGATTTACTCAGCTTTTAGTCATATATCGCTTAGGATAGTGTAATAATCACCCAAGAGACAGAAAAGTGAGCAGTCATGAAAACAGTGCATTTTGGATTCTAAAACCTCTGAAAAGTTCAGTAAAACTTAATGTGCATGTGCATACTCTTCTCAAAAGGAGGATGAAAGTATAATTATTCATCAACTACTACTACTAGAAATCAGATAAATTTTGCAATGAATTAACTCCGGAGTTTAAACCTTCAGAAGATGTTTTAAAATATTAGCTTTACCTTCTTTATCCAATTCTGCATCTTTAACCTCCACATCAGGGCCAGGTTCTAATTTCTCAGTATTGCTACATTCTGGTGCCTCTAGTTTCTCAGGATCATCTCCATGATTTTCATTTGAAATTTCTGGTTTTTCTTTTAACTGGTTTTCCAGGACAATCTTTTGTTCTGAACTACATTTATCTCCACTACTACAGAGAGGAATGACATCAACTTTACCATTCTGACATTCCAGAACAGGTATTCCTTCAAAACTGTCAGTGGAGGCCTCACCATTCAGACAGCTGCCCTTAAGAAAAGGCTCCTTCCTAGATGTCTGTTCTGGATTAAGAGTACTGCTGCTGTGGATGAGCAGAGATTCATTTGAACTTTCTTCTTCTGTGGATGCAAAGTTCTCTTTAGTGCCTGCTCCGTTGTTTAGCCTCTGCCCCTGGTCCATGTCCATGATGTCACACGAGGATTCATCATTGGTCATAGATAAGTCCCCAGTCTCTTCTCCATTTTCCTCATGGCAATCAGTGCTTACCTCAAACTCTCCATTCTCTAGCAATTTTCTGTCCTCTGTATGGTTCTCATAGTCTGCAAATTTGGTATCCTCTTCGTCTTTTTTTAAATTATTAACTTTTCTTTTCTTAATAATTCCTTTGCCCCACTGTGAACGTCGCCTTGATTTTCTCCGTACCCGAACTGTTTTATGAGGAAGGAAAAAAATATGTATAACTTGGAATGTAATATCTAGTTTACATATGTTTATTAAAAAGGACCAAAAAGAAGGTAAACCCATACTGGTCTAACACACAAACAAAAACTCTTGGCTCTTGACATCCATGCTGACTAATCCTCAAAACCTATAAGCAGAATGGGTATGAAGTCAAGATCAACTCTGCAGAATGGAAACTAAAAATTTTGCTTCCTGTTATGAGTTTGAGTTTACTCAGCACTAATCTTTTCTATTACCTTAGATTCTACATTAGAGTGGTTCCTAACTTTCAACATCTAGGGGCCAATCCTATAATGTATACATTTGGGGAATGATCACATTACCAAGATTCCCAGGAAGTTTGAGCCACAGCCCTATCTTTCCACCAGAAAGGTAGATGCTTTGCCAGCAAGATCAAGAGATGGTTTCTAAACCATGAAGGGAAATGAACACAAAAGCCAATATAGCATGATAAAATAGTTACAGATATCCCCACAAAGAAATCTCCATTGTCCCTCATTCCAGAAAAAGGAATCGTCCACAGTACACATGATTGTGGATAGAAACCAAAAGCCATATCAACTACTAACTTCCTTTAAGACAAATGGCAGCATCAGTTTCTTACAAAGTTACCTAATTTAAGACAAATCTGGCAGCATCAGTTTCTTACAAAGTTACCTAAGGAAAACCAAGTCCTCCGCTATCAAAGTTGTTGTGACATTAACAAAATATCAAAAACAAACATTCAGTCAGTTGTATAAAAGTGAGATCTATAAAAGTTGTAAAGACTATACTCTTAAGATGATATAAACTACAATGTGGTCTGTGAATAAAGGTGGAGCTTCTAGGTGATAATGGACCCCAAAATTTTTATTTCCTTTATGTATGTCAAAGGTAGTTTGATTAGGCAATCTACCCAGCTGGACTACTCGCACTGTTTAATAAGGACTTGTAGTCTTCCAGCAGTGCAGAGTATGTTTACATACTGCTTTCAACCTTTTACTTTAACCCCTACTGTGTCTGTAAAGACACCAACATATTAATAAGGAATGGATACATTTAGTTATAAATATGAGTATAGCTACCAAAGATTTCTCATATCATCTCTAAAATTCAAGTTATTTAATCATTTGGCTCGAAGATTATTTTCCCTTCAAAACTACGGTATCATTAGAACTCTTCATTTTTCCCCCTAATTTCAACTTTTATAATTTATAGTGATATGGTTCCTCCTAATTCCTACTTTTATAATTTATAGTTATAGGGTAATTGGGATGAACAAGAAAATTTATTATTTTACTGTTAAAAGCTGACACACAGGTTAAGGTGACAGGCATCTGAACCAACCCACTAAAAATAGAAAAAACTTAATCTAATTCACATTAAAAACTAAAGAAAGACAGTTATCTTACTAGGACTCAACAGGTGGAGCTGTTGGGTTGTTGCTATTGACAATCCACTACTGACACTGTAACCTCTCCTATTCTCAAGCCAAATAACCAAAAGCACTAGAGGGTCCCTTTCTCTTTCTTAAGCCATGGGTCTCTAGGGCAAAAAGAGGCTCAACTCTACCAAATTGAGAGCCAGCTCAGTTTATTTACACATAGAACACAAATCAAAGGTCAGAGCCTCATTGAAATGAGTTTACTTCTAATGCTTTCATCATGGCAAACAACAGAGAAAACGTTCTTATTCTTTGGAAGAGAAAAGAGGTATTTCCTCCTGCTTAATGCATTATTTCTAAGGACTACTAGAATTTTGGTAAAAGAAAGAAGGGAGGGAAGGAAGGAAGGGAAAGAGGCTGGGAAGAAAAAGAAGGAAGAAAGGGAGAGAGGGAGGGAGGGAGGAAAGAAGGGGGAAAGAAAGAAAGAGAACTGATCACATAAGCTCTACAAGAATATAGATTTTTGTTTACTCTGCTGTATCGTCACAATTCCTGGCAGGAGCATGTGTACTGGTGGATCTACTCCTTCATATGCCACTTCCTTTATCAAGGGTGCTATGTGTGAAAAGTTCATTTAGAGACATAATCTTCAGAGTCAATTTTTATAAAATCACTGAGCTTGTTTCCGAAACCAAGACCTGTCTCTTAGGGGACACTTAGATTTACGATTTGAGTAAGTTAGCGTAAAACAGATAAATAGTGTGTCACATATGCCATCTACTGGTAAAACAAAACTCTCATCTATAGATTAAAATAATATTTTTAATATTTAAGGAAATTAAACTTCTTAAAGCAAATATTCAATGCATTTTCATTAGTAGATATTTAAATAAAAATGCAAAGAATGTAAAGGATTTCAAAGTTAAATAAATTTAAGTGCAATATTACACAATCCAGGTCACGATCTGAGACACGACTAGGCCAAATAGCTTTAATCAATTTCAGGCAACTAAATGCACCTTTAAGCCCTTTCTCAAATTGACCTATGAATACCATCCAAAGAGGGCAAGTTTTTTAAAAAGTGGGTATGACTCATTCATTCAAATTTCAATACCACTGAAGAAAGATCATATTAAAAAATTAGCTTTGTTAACTTTTCTTTCTTTTTGCAAAACTGGGGATAGAACCCCAGTCTCACACATTACTAGGCAAGGGATATACCACGGAGCCATATTCTCAATCAACAGAGCAATATAATCACCATTAACCAGAAGAACAGTAGGCATCTTCCAGGGCATGCTATTTTCAGTAAAACAGAAAGATTACACTAGAAAAATGTTGTGTTTATTAACATTTGTCTTAGAAATATTATAGACCACACAAGCACAATGGTGCATGCCTATAATGCCAGCAACTGGGGAGGCTGAGACAGGAGGATTGCAAGGTCTAAGCCAGCCTAGGCAACTCAGCAAGATCCTATCTCATAAGAATACAGAAAAAAAGAAGAAGAAAAAAAAGGCTAAAAGTGGGGACCGGGAATGTAGTTCAGTAGTAGAGTGCCCATGGCCTGTATACCACAAAAAAAAAAAAAAATTATAGACCAACATAAATAATTAAAATGAGGAAAATCTAGAACACTGAATTTTCTCTCTAAACACATCACACCAAACTAAACAAATAATGAAGGGTGTGCAGATTTTTCAAAATGAACACAAAATATTCTTTCAGAAGAATCAACAGCCTATTGCCAAATCAGTCACCTTCATATGAGTTTTCATTTCTTACTAATTAAGAGAGCACCCTGCACCACGTGCAACAAGATGTGGGTGATGAGGACAAGGGTGGATAAAAAGTTGATCACCTCCATATCTCGATCCAAAAACCAAAGTTGAACACCGAAAACATTTAACTCTGGCTCAATTTATAACAGCAAGTACTGAAAAAATATAGAAAATGACAAATAAGTTTAAGGAAGTATATTTCTGATACAGTATCTTATCCCACCAACTTTACCTCTGGAAAGATAGAAGATTAAGAGCTGTAGAAAAGCTGCTGCACTTCCGTTTATGCTTTCTGACAAATATGTACCATTCTCAGCTGTTCCCACTGGTGGACAACATGGTCTCAAATACTCACATGCACATTTATTTGCAGAGTTGTGCCAGACATCCATTGGATTTCTTTGTTTGTGCCGAAATGCCTCTTCAACTCTAGTTTCTGTCTTCCGAGCTCCAGTGCCATGAGGATTTATTTGTTCTGCTGTTACCGATAAGCCTGCAAGCAGAAGATAAGCAATACCTATTTAAATATTCTCAGCTACATAAACCAACGAGGTTAAAAAAAGTCTGAAATACAAAACTGAATTTTAAAGTCATTAATTATACTTGGACAGTTTGTAATTCTGATGGAAATGGTGTCTTTTGTTTTAAGATGGGAAAGAAACTAGATATAAAATCATAAAAATAAAACACCTGCCAGGCTGTGCTTACATTCAATCCCCAAAAGAACCCTAATTTTACTCATTTTAATTCACATAGGGATACATTTCACATTATGATTGTGGGACAATAAGATTATGCTTTGTCTAAATGTCATGATCTCTGCCATCTTAGAATGCACAGTAAGTATTTACTGGGCCACTAAATTCCAGTCCCACAAATTGTTTCAATCTGATATCTGCCGCCTGTCACAGCACACTGCGGTATGTTTGGTTTTCCTGCATTATCTTCCTAAGAGTAACCATTCCATCTCAATTTCTTTAGTAGAATCTTTTCTTCCATGTGGTCTCTAAAATATCGGTGTCTCTCAGCACTCCCTATAAACTCTTTTCTTCTTACTCTAATCTACACCTTTCCCCATGAAGCCTCACTTATGTGTTCAGCTTCCACTGCTGTTACATAATAATTCTCACATCTGTTATTTTTAGTCCAAAGATCTCTTGACTACTGGCCCATATATTCCACAGCCTACCTGATAACTCCAAATGGGTATCCTAAAATGTTTGTCCTTAAATATTCTCAATCTAGCTTGGTGGTATAGGCATCTACTCATCCAACCAGTCATATTTCTTCCCTTCACAATGCCCTCTATCCCTGCAGGGACATCTCTCTTACGTTCCTCTTGTCTAATTCCACTTGCACTACATTAAAAGCCTGGACTACGTCAACAGCTTTTTCCCGAGGCAATTTTACTGAGATACAATTACATAACATAAAAACAGCCTGACTTAAGCATACAGTTAAATAACTTTTACCAAATGCATAGAGCTGTACAATCATCACAGCAATTAAATTTTAAATGACTGTCCCAGACAATACCACTTGATTTTTTTGACATCACAGACTTGCCATTTTTAGGCATTTCACATAAAGGAATCATACAAGGTCTTTTGTGATTGCTTTCTTTTGCTTAGCATAATGCTTCTCAAGTTCACCCATGTTGTACTGTGTATCAGTACTTTGTTCCTTTTTTATTACTGCGTAGTATGGATATACTATAATTTGCTCACTCATTCACCAGTTGTCTGTCATTTGGGTTATTTCCAGCTTTTGGTTATTATGAATAATGTTCCTACAAATAGTTATGTACAAATTTTTATGTGGGCATATATTTTCATTTTTCTTGGGTAGATTCCAAGGAGCAGAATCACTGGGTCATAGAGTAAATCTATGTTTAACTTTTTAGAAATTGCCAAACTGTTTCCCAAACTGGCTCCAACAGCTTTGAAAATGATCTCTCATTTTCCTGCCCTGATACATTGAGACCCTACTATTTCTTACTACCAAAGTAATTTGACCAATTCACTCCACTGCTTAACATCCTCGATAACTTCTACTGCCCATGACAATGGATTTTCAAACTTAAAGGCACACAAAAACCACATCAATAATTTGTTAAAATGCAGATTTTTGGCTTAATATTCTTTTTTTTTTAATTTTTAAAAAATATTTATTTTTTATTTATAGTTGAACACAACACCTTTATTTATTTATTTTTATGTGGTGCTAAGGATCAAACCCTGGGCCTCACAAGCACTAGGTGAGCGATCTACCACTGAGCCACAACCCCAGCCCCTTGGGTTAATAAATCTAATTTGCTAGCTCTAGGATGACTCATGTAACAGGTGTATCCACACATTTTGAAAAAAACAGGACTTACAGGACTTTATCCCATAAGTCCAAGCTCCTTAGCATGACAATGATACATTCAAATTACTGAAGATTTATTATATACCAGACACTGTCCTAGGGATTGGATTAGGACAATAAAAAAGACATTCACAGTACTTAAATTCTCAGTAAGGAAGAGATGGCAAAAAAACAAACAACATAGCTGGGTATGGAGGCACAATCCTGAAATCCTAGCAGCTAAGGAGGCTGAAGCAGGAGGATAGAAAATTTTGAGGCCAGCCTCAGCAACTTAGTGAGGCTCTAAGCAACTTAGCAAGACCTTGTCTCAAAATAAAAAATAAAAATGGCTAGGGATGTGGCTCAGTGGTAATGCATCCCAGGGTTCTATCCCCAGTACCAAAAAAAAAACCCCCACCATGATGCCAAGTACAACCATATCCTATACTGGATTAGGGGGCCAGAGAAGGGCTCCATAAAGAGATAGAAAAAAAGTTTCTTCATAATTTTTTATCCTGGAGCCAGTTCACCTCTTAAGCCCTGTTTCCCAGTATTCTGTATATTTTTAGTAATACCAAACAGTTTAATGTTTTTCCAATACACCAGGCTACTTTATGCCTCTATGCCTTTATATGCGTTATCACTTTGAACACCTCCTCCTGTCACTGCCTTCCTTCCCCTGTCTACTGGAGGCTATGCTCCTATAGTCACTCTTTGCATTCTAATCAAAATGCTGGGTTCCTGACCAGGAGGTCTCTCTTCTCTGTGCAGTACACATGCTTCAACCAGTGCATGTAATGTCCTGTACTTGCTTTGCTTTACATTCTCTCTCTCCTATTAAAGTTCAAGTTCCTCAAGCACACAATTATAAATCAAACAAATCACATTTGCTAATTTTGTGGGGGTTTTTGGTTCTGGGAATTGAACCCATCGGTGCCTAACCAATAAGCCACATCCCCAGCCCTTTTTTGTATTTTGAAACAGGGTCTCACTGCTGAAGCTGGCTTGGAACTTGGACTCCTCCTGCCTCAGCCTCCAAAGCCACTGAGATTACAGGTGTGTACTGCTGTGCCTGGCTAATCCTGTGTTTCTAAGAACAAAATTGCACATAAGCTTCAAAAGGGAAGAAAAAAAAAAAAGTATTCCTAAAACATTTTTTTTAAGGTCTCAGTGAACTGATGAAAACTAAAACCTCTTCAGATATGGAAGCACATCTAATACCTAAATCTTCTAAAAAGAGATATAAATGATCAACAAAGTTGTACATTTGTAAGAGATTTCACTAAGAAACACTTTATTTCTGTACTATGCACTTGCACTGAAATTTTCATAGAAGGTAAAATTTTTAAATTCGTGAGTATTTACATGATACATATTAGTATAATAAATTAAGTAATGAGCATAATGTTATTGTCTGAGAGAAGGAATAAGTTCTGGTGTTCTATGGTATAGCAGGGTGAATATAATTAATAATAATTCACTATATATCTCCAAATAGTTAGAAGAGAGGAGTTTGAATGTAGTCACCATAAAGAAATGATAAAAGTTTAAGGTGAAGGACATGTTAATTATCCTGAGTTAACCCAGTGTATACATGAATTAAAACATCATGTTACCTCATAAGTATAAATATTATGTGATTAAAGGAGAACTGAAATAAACTTCTTTAGAAAAGATATTTAGGGCTGGGGCTGTAGTTCAGTGGCAGAGCACTTGCCTAGCATGTGTGAGGCACTGGGTTTGATTCTTAGCCCCATCTAAAAATAAGCACATAAAATAAAGGTATTCTGTCCATTGACAACTACCAAAAGAAGAAATAAATAAGTAAATAAATTAAGTACAGGTTAAACTTCAAAATACATTATTTTCATATACCAGAATTCCCAAAGAAATATCATTCAATAACTCTTAGTGTGAAATAGGTAAGACTTCAGAAGCAAGTTTATTTTCACAACTTACCTCTTTTTATTCTTGCTTCTTTAATTTCTTCACAGAGTTTATTAAATTCCGGATCTAATTCAGCTGCAATGATGGCATGTGCAGTGTCCTTCAGGGTACAAGCTCTGTGTCTAATTATTTTATCTGTTTAAAAAGGTGATAAAATTTATTATAGGCACAAATGAAATAACATTAACACAGGACATCTTCAAAAGAGAAGCAAAAGTACACAAACATTTAAATAAAAAATTTTAGAAAATAAATGTTACACAATGAAGTTAATAATTTTGTGAAAAGTGAACTTTTAGAACCTCAAAGTACTAAGCCTATTAAATAAATCATTATCTCAAACACATATGGATTTTTTTAAATTTCTGGAAATAAAAATGATTTTCAATAAAATTATAAACAGAATTCAGAGGTTCTTCATTGACACCCAGTTCTAGATACATACTAAAAACTCAGAAAAATCTTAATTTTCCCTACCAGTTAAAACTGGTCAAAACTGTGCCAAAGAATATGATATATCCTAAGGGAGACCTATTAACAAATATAGAAAGACTCTTTAAGGGGATAGAGCTCAGACCTGGGTTCAATCCCCAGCACCACAAAAAAACAAAACAAAACTCGTTAAGCTCAAGTGTCCAAGACAGTATATAAACTATATGCAGATTAAGAAGAGAACTACAAAAATGGTTCTAGGTAAACTATAAAAATGGCACTAAAAAGAAGAATCTCTGCTCCACAAGGCCCCATTCATGAATAAAGACAATGTCAACAGTGCCCTCTAGAGATGTGCGACTCAGACATGTGAAAAGGTGAGAAAATACCTCAAGGAAACTTATTTGCTAATAGTATTGAGAATCCAAAGTCAAAAATATCATCTTCTTTTTCTTCTCTTTCAAAGGCATTATATATGGACAAATATTTAAAAAGATCTTTTATTTACAACATTCCTAATTAGAAAGTTTTATCAGCTCATTGTAGAAATCTTATGAAAACAAATGTTTACTGCTAAAGGTGTTATTTCCTTTTGACATATTTTCTCTAACTATCCATTCATTAATACTGTTAACTGAACCAGAAAAGGGTGGATTACACAGAAATGAAAAAAAGAAAGAAACAGATGCAGTCCCAACATTCAAGCTTTTCATACTAGATAGGAAAGTGCTGTTAAACAAATTATTTCTCATACATACATGTAAATATCTCCCTCTTAAAAAAAAAAAAAAAAAGAGCTACAAAGAAAACTTATGGGTACTGGTTTGAGTGACAATTTCAACTGGTCAAATCAAGATGAGCCTCTCTGAAGAAGAGACCCTTAGGCTGACACATGGAACATTCATAGAGGAGCCACGGCAAGACCAGAGAGAAATCAATGCAGGTTCAGGCAATACCATGGGAGAAAATTCTGGAGTGAAAAAAAGCTAGGAGATTTTAGAAACTGAAATGTAGTCTATATGGTAAGAATATAATAAGCAAAAGGAAATATAGATTTTAGCCTACAAGCAATGAAAAATAATTTAAAAGATGTGAGCAAAGAAATAACAGGATCCAAGTTTACATCCATGAATGTTTACTCTGGGCTTGTGCCTGGAGAATGGATTGAGAAGAGTCAAGACACAAATCCATAAGCATAATCACAAGGCCCATTTTTATCTGGGGCAATGGTGGTGGTGGTGGTTGTAATAATAAAGGAAGAAATTATTATTGACTTGGAAAGTGCTCTCAATGATAACTTTGGTGATAAGGCAAAAGAGGTAGTAAAATAAATATCAAAGATGATATTTACTTCTCCTAGCTTCTTATATGAAACATGGGGGATGGAAGTACTATTTATAAAGACAGAAAAAAACTACAAAGTAAGAAGGAAACAGGGATAAAAAGGGTAAACATTAGTTTAAAAGACTTTAAGTTGTGGCTATTTCAGTTTTGCGATGCCTAAAAAATATCTCAATGGCCAGACATGGCCAGCGACTGGAGAGGCTAAGGCAGGAGGATCACAAGTTTAAGGCAAACCTTCACAACTTAGGAAGGCCCTCAGCAATTTAGCAAGACCCTGTCTCAAAATTAATAATGATAAAGGGCTGGGGGATGTGGCTTAGTTGTAAAGTGCCACTGGGTTCAATCCCTAGTACAGCAGGGGAAAACCTCAATGGAAATATCACATAAGCAAATAAATATAGATCTCAACAATTCTTGTTATGACGAAAGAACCACAATGATTTTGTAATCTATCTACTATTACCATATTGTATCTTCTCTAAGTCTTTTTAATCTCCTGGGATACAATAGATACACAATAAACTGCAAATATATAAAGTATATAATTTGATGTTTTGATATAAGTCACATATCCATAACATCATCACTATACCCAAGATAATGAATACATCACCACCAAAAGTTCTTCTGCTCCCCTATTTTCTCTCCCTCCAACCTTTCCTATCACCTTCCATTCCCAGAAAACCACTGACCTTTCTGTTACTATAAATCAGTTTATAACTTCTACAATTTTGTGTGTATGTGTGTGTGTGTGTGTGTATGTGTGTTGAGGGGGGGAATCTCTCATTATATACATATTTGAGTATATACTAAGAAGTAGGATAACTGGATGAAATGGTGGTTCCATTCCAAGTTTTCTGAGGCATCTCCATAGTGCTTTCCAGAGAGGTTTAACCAATTTACAGTCCACCAAATCCTCACCAACAGTGTTACTTTTATTCCTGATAATTGCCATTCTGACTGGACTAAGATGGAATTTCAGTTTAGTTTTAATTTGCATCTCTCTAATTGCTAGATATGTTGAATAGTTTTCATATATTTGTTGACCACTGATTTTCTATACACTGATCCCATTTATTGTGTTATTTTGGGGTTGTTGGGTTTTTTTTGTTGTTGTTTGTTTATGGTGTTTTTTGTTGTTGTTGTTGTTGTTTTTTGAGTTCTTTGTATATCCTAGAGATTAATGCTGTGAGGAGCAGGTGGCAAAGATTTTCTCCCTTAGGGGTCTTTTAATATTTATGGTCACCTCCTCATTCCTGTTATCAGTAATTTTTGTCTTCTTTCCCATTAACCTAATTAGTCCAGTTAGAGGGTTATCAATTACTGACCTAAAAAAACCAGCTTTGATTCTTGTTGATTTTCTGTATATTTTGTTTTTGTTTTTCATTAATTTCTGCAGATCACTAACTTCATATCTTTAGTATTTCATTTTGGGTTTCATCTGCTCTTCTTTGGGGGAACTGGAGTCATTGGCTTGAGATATTTCTTCTTTTCTAATTTAGCTAATTAGTGCTAACCTGCCCCCCGAAAGTACTACACTAGCTGCATCACACAAATGTGAATATATCTTAATTTTATTCAATTCAAAAACTTTTAAACTTATCCTCTGATTGCTGTCTTACCCAAGTATTATTTAGAAGTTGGTATTTAGTTTCCAAATATTTTTATTTCCAGATAGCCTTCGGTCATTGATTTCTAATAAATTCTACTGTTGTCAGAGAACATACTTTGTATGATTAAATGCTTTTATTATTTAATGAGACTTGTTTTATGGCCCAAAACATGATCTACCTTGATAAATATTCCAGTGCACTAGAAAAGAAAGTACATGTCTTCTGTCACTGGATAGAGTGCTCTGTAAGTGACACTTAGGTCAAGTTGGTTCGTAAAGTTATTCAAGTCTCATGATCTTCACTGATTTTCTATACACTGATCCTATTATTTAAAAGAGGAGCATTGAAATCTGCACATCAATCAAGCCTTTTATATTTTCACTACTTTTCTCTGTACTAGCTCTTCTATTATAGAGATAGGGGTACTAAAATCTTCAATTTAACAACAACTTTCTCTATTTCTCCTTGCAGTTCTATCAGTTTTGCTTCATGAATTTGGAAGCTATTTTATCACAGGCAAAAAGTTTTAGAACTGTTATGCCTGTTCGATGATTACAAAATAAGAAATTATGAAAGAGCTCTCTTTCTCCAATTAATAGTCTTGCGTATGGTATCTACTTCATATGATATTTAAATAACCATTCCAACTTCCCTTTGCTTGGTGTTAGCATAATATACTTTTAAAATGCTTTTTTCTTACATCTATTTGCACTTTATATTTAAAGTGGGTTTCTTATAGGCAACCTATGGTTAAGTCTTACATTTTTATCCAATCTGACACTTTCTGCCTGTATTTGGGATATTTAGGCCAGAGTTCTGCAATCTTTTCCTGCAAAAGACAAAAGAGATTTAGGCTTTGCAGAACATCAGGTCTCTATGGCAAGTACTCAAAGCTGAGTTTGTGCACAAAAGCAGACATTAATAAGATGTAAAGACACGAGCATGGGGCTGGGGATATAGCTCAGTTGGTAGAGTGCTTGTCTAGCATGCACAAGGCCCTGGGTTCAATCCCCAGCACAAAAAAAAAAAAAAAAAGCCATGACAATGACACTATATTCCTATTTAAGAAAAAACAAAATACACACATACTTCAATCACAAAAACAGGCAGTCAGCTTGACTATAGTTTGCTTATAGCTTTGTCACAGATCAGACTATTACTTCTAATGATATACAGGATTACTGATATGGTTGCTTTATTTTCTGCTTGTCCCATATGTTTATGGTTTCCTGTTTATTCACTTCTGAAATTACTCTGTACCTTTTGATGACACCTTTGCTTGGTAGTTCATTAGCTCTTTGCTGCACTATTGCTGGCCTAGTGTGAGTTTCAAAGAATATTCCCTGTCTTCCTCTGACCTCTGGTAGTTCTTTCTTATATGTGAGCTGATCAGTACTTTGTTGAAGACCATGAGAGGATGTTCTGCTGACACCAAGTGCTATCTCTGTGTAGCTTTCTTCTTTCTGGTACTCTGCCACCACAAACTCCAGCCACTTCCAACTTCCAACAGTTCCAAATCTGTTTCTTCAATTCAGGGAAAACTTCAGACTATGCTTCATTGTCCTTCCTTGAGTACACTATGGAAATTCTGTGCAGGCAACCAAGGCACTAATCTTATTTGCTTTTCATCTTTTGGAGATCACTACCCTGTGCTGCCTAATGTTCAATGTCTTCAAACTCTTTTTTTTTAATATATTTTGTTTAGGATTTTCCCCCCATTGCTTCAAGTGAGAGAGGAAATCTAGT